GTACATGGGCGTATGGAGGTGCGGGTCACAGCTGATGGCCAGGATGATGAGCAGGTTCCCGAGGATGGTGAGCAGGTACATGCACAGGAAGAGCCTGCAGAGAGCCTCCTCCTGCTCTGACTCACCCGACAGTCCTAAGAGGAGGAATTCTGTTACCCTGGTCTGATTTTCTCCATCCATACCTGTGAGGAAGATGATATGCCAACATTTGGGCAAAATATCATATAAGTTGGAACATTTTATTCATCGATTGAAAATTAACTAAAATGGAATTGTCTTGTGTAATTTTAAAGTAAATGCTTGGATAATTTCAATAAAATTTAATTATTAATGGCTGTACTTTTATTAACTCCACTCCTATTTTCTCATTAACATGCACAGGCACTTTTTAACACAATATTTAACTTAGTTCAGTAAAAAGTGTATTATATTCTAATTTATAGACGTTTAGAATTGGGATAATTGGGTGATTTCCTCATATTTATAGAACCAATCAAAGTTACAGTATCAAGCTAGGCGAAGTTCTTTTTTCTTTGCACTGTATTTTAATTAGCGACCATTTCTTGAAACCTTAAGCAACTGACTAACTCTTTTTAAGTCTGCAGATTTTGTCTGTGACTCTTTTATATTTTCAGAATTTGGAAAATATATGGGCTTTAGTAGACCCACTGGTGATTTGTCTGCAACCTTTCAGCGGCCCTCATGATGCACCCACCACAGCTCACGGCTGTTGGGTCTCCTGACTTCAGCTTGCTGCCCTTTTGCTGGACGCAGTGTTCTGCCTCTTTTCTGCTGGCCAGAAGATGACGGCAGATGACTATTGCATCTGCTTTCTTTCTCCAGTGAAGGAAAGAGATTTTCTGATAAAGAGCAAATGCGTGTGGTACACGCAAAACACAGCCCCAGGACTAAGAAACCATCAGTAGGGGGTCAAGTAAAATATGATGAATGCTGCGCCCTGGGAAAAAGTCATGGTATTTAAGCCAGAGTGAGAGCAGTTGCATTCCTGGGAGAGCAATGGCCTGTGGCAAAGCCCAGGGAGAGACACAGCATGGGCTTTGTGAAGTGTCCTGACACCTCTGGCAGACAGTAACGCAGGGAGTACTTGAGGAGACTGTAGCGTATGCATTTTATGGGGACAGCTGAGTTGACTACCACCACAAGAGTTAAACTACTGCAACTAAGGGAAATTGCTGAGATTTGAAATTATTTTATATCTAATTTAACTCCCAGAACCAAAGGATGTAGGATAGTACTAGAAAAAGCTGCACATTTTCCTGACTGAGCCTGGTTAACATGTACCCAGATGTTGAGGGGTGAAGGAGAGATGGAGACATATGTCCCCAAGAGAAGACAGTGCCTTGACCACTAGATCGCAGTACTCTGATCTTTGGAACAGATTGTTTCATATTAGCAGAAGCAGAGAGAAAGCAGGTAATAGGATGCCAAGGGGGATCTGTCCCATTGCGTTGCAACTGTGGAGCCAAATATTGAGAACACAAAGCTGAAATTATCCTACCACTGTATGGTGGTAGGTCATGCACTGAGCTCTTATTACTCTGACTGAAAATGCATCAGACATACTCCAAACATAATTCACCCTTCCCTGCTGTTTCCCCTTAGAAAGCAACATAACATTTAGTCTGTATGACTTCTGTATGTTGATGTTTACTTTCCATTGTCAGTCTCTTGTGAGGCGTTCTACTATGTGACTGTGACTGAGACATCTGCCATAGCTGCATCATTGAATATTTATCTCTGCACCCTAAAATTAAGGGTACTTAGTCCCTGGACACCCTCTCAAGTCACTTTCCCTCCATGGAGCTCAGACTGGCGTCTGAGTAGCCACCATCTTAGCTACCTTTATTATGCAGTCCCAGACCAACATGGATAAACATGGGGTATCGGCTGGCTCCCACAGTGGACCTTAGGGGTAGAGTAGGAGTCCTGTGTGTCTGGCAGAGGAATCTCCCTTTTGGGGTGACGGGAATTAGACTCTTGGCTCTGAGCTTCTGGTTAAGCTTCTCAGGAGCCTGTACTCAGTGGTTCTAGCACCAGTTGCTCTAGTAGTCTCCTTGCTTATGCACTGCTAAGCTTTCTGTTTTCCTCCTCAGAATGTACTTGCTCTGCTCTGCAGGGAACAGCACACCCTGAGTAAGGAAAGGCTTGCCCATGTCAGATGAGAGATGTTTCCGCTTGCGCCTGGTGAGACATAGAGGAACTCAGGAGGCCTGTTTCTCCAGACACTGGTGTGTGTGCTGTGCCCTGCGAATCAGGCTGTGCTGGGGGGCGCTCTGGCCTCACGGGCTTTCCCAGCCCTCTTACCTGCTGCTCTGCCACTGTCAGAGCTTCCTCAGAGTCTGGGTTTCTGCGGGTTGCATGCTGGAGCCCGAATGATGCAAATTCACAGCTGCAGCTGAATCAGCGAGGCTCTCTGGTGAGGCTTGGGAGATTGGGAACAAATACATAAACCCTCCCTCCTTGGAGGTTGGGATTTCCAGGAGGATTGTTTGCAAGTTGAAGAGCCCCTGGGATTGATTCCCTAGACGTCCTCACGGGGGACGCTCACTGTTTGTATTCTGTCTAGGTATGGAAAACAGTTTTTGTGTAAATACTTGCTCTTCCTTTTGCTTATTCTGTTCTCCTTCTCTGAGAAATCAAGAAAAAGACTGATACTTAGGAATCACAAAATGCATTTTGCATAAAAAGATTTTGTCAGTTGATTAACTGTATGAAAAATGTAGTAAGCACAAAACAAAAAGTAAAATGTTTAAAAGTACTAGAAGAATTTTAATAAACCTATATTGTTACTGGAACACTTTTGAATACATTTTTTTAGCACTTAACCACTCTAGTAGTCCAAAATAAATGATGATAACCAGGGATTTGAATTTCTAGATAAAAAATACAACCTAAAACTTTTAACCAAATATACATATATATGATTATACACATATACTCACAGCTGTACGATTTTATATATGATTTTGTATATATGTTAATCTCAAGATATATTAACTAATATTGAATGCCTTCCTGGTTATTATGAAGTCCTGTGAAATTCCTTGAAATAGACACTTTATACACCACATTCGCTGGTCATAAAATAATGAAATTAGAACCCAACAATAATGTAGAAATAAGAAAAGATAGTTTTGTTAGATTTTAAGTGTTTAAATATCCATTATGCACCGTAAAAATCATCCATCTTAGTGTATAGTTTCATCAATGTTGACAAATGTCTTCAGTATTGTAACCATCACAAACAAGGTATTAAACAGTTCAACTACCTGCAGAGAATTTCCCTACGCCCTTTGTAGCTAACCACTACCCGAACTGCAGCCTCTAGCAATCATTATCTGTACACCAATAGTGTGCTCATTTTTATTGCTGAGTAGTATCTAAAAACTTTGAGGCACCAACGTTTGTTAATTCATCAATCAGCTTAGGGACATTGAGGCTATCTCCAGATTGATGTGATTACATCTATGAACGTAACTTGCTATTTTACTTTGATACAAATGTAGAGTGGGATTGATGGGTCCCATACGTAACAGTGGGTTTGATGGGTACATTGAATGGACTGAATGTTTGTTTACCCCGCTAAATTCCTATGTTGAAGCCATAAACCTCACTATGGCTATATTCTGAGACAGGGACCTTAAAGAATTAATTAAGATTAAAGAAAGTTATAAGGATAGAGACCAGAGTGTTCTCTCTCTCTCTCTCTCTCTCTCTCTCTCTCTCTCTGTCCTTCAGCACAGGCATGGAAAAGAGCCCTCAGCACAAACAGAATTGATCAGAACCTTGACTCTGAGCTTCCAGCCTCCTTCAGCATGAGAAAATACATTTCTGTTGTTTACACCGTGCACTCCATGGTGTTATGTTGTGGCAGCCTAAGCTGACTAACATGGTAAGTGTATTTTTAACTTCATAAGCTAAAGCAGCCCCATTTTCTTTCCATTTTGTATTTTTCTCCAGAAGTTTCTATTTCTCAGAACACTATTTCCAGTTCCTAAAAAGCCATCTATACTGGTATGTGCTTGCTGTGGTTTCTGTATGATGTCCTCCAAGAGCCTCGTACTCTCAGAAGCAGGTTTGTGGAAGGCCATTGGATTGTGGGGAGCTTGGGGGCAGTGTTAAGAGGTGGGGCCTGGTTGGAGGCGGCCATCAGTGCCTGGCCTGGAAGTGTGTACCTCTTTTTCCAGCTCCTCCTCTCTCTGCTTCCTGGTTGCCAAGATGTGAGCAGATTTCCTCTGCCGTGCCCTCTGCCCTGCTGTCACACCCTTGGGGCCTGTGAATCAGGGATAGAGTAACCCCCTTCTTCTCCTTTAAATTATAGATGTAGGGTGTTTTGTCCCAGCCACAAGGAAAGTGACTGAGACAGTAGTGTTTTTTCTTTATGGTTTTAATTTGTATTTCTGAAGATTAATGAAGTTGGGCACATTTTCATGGGGTTACTTTGCATCCATATGTCTTCTATCTTTTACTCTGGTGTAAAGTTGGATTGTTTTCTTATCTCCAAATTTTGAGATTTCTTCATGTATTCTGATTACTAAGTATTGATCAGATATAAATATTTCTCATTTGTAAATAATTTCTCATTTGTTACTTGCCTTTTCATTTTCTTAACAGTATCTTTGAAGGAAAAACATTTAATTTTACTGAATTCTAATTTGTGTATTAAAATATTTGTGGATCAAGCTTTCATTGTTGTATATACAAAATCTTTGCTTACCCCAAGACCACAAAAATTTATTCCTATGTGTTTTCATGGAAATGTTTAATTTTCTGTTTTCCATTCATGTCTTTGATCCTTTTCCAGTTAACTTTGTATATGGTGTGAGGTAAGGATCTGTTTAAGTTTTTAATATTTCTATTTAATTATCATTACTATTTATTAAAAGATCATCTTTCGTGAATTTCTTTGAGTCTTTTATCTCAAATCCATTTACCATTTATGAGTATTTTGTTCCATTAATACATGTGTCTCTGGATTAGTCAAAACTATTATAATTTTATAGTAACCTGGTAATCAGCTTTGCTCCTTTTTTGGAATTGTTTTGGTACTCTAGCTCATCTGTTTTTCTATATAAATATTAAAATCAGCTTGTCAATTTCTGAGAAAATTGCCTTCAAGTCTTTTGATTTGGCTTATGATAAATATATTTTCAAGCCAA